CAGCGGAGTGTCGCACCCTTGAGCCGCCCGATCCCAGGGCTGCTCGAAGGGAGCCAGGCTGTGCTCATCCTCAGACCTGGGGAGTGTCACCAAAGCTGTCACACGGAGTTTTTATGACACTGTCGGTGTCATTTAAACCTCGTGGAACATGATTTGAGGGATCTCGTGTACAAACAGAGCTGGCCCTGGCTCAGCACAATGACAGGCTCAGCTCTGCCAGAGAGAAGCTTCGTATGCGAGCTCCTTTCCCCGCGGGAGTCATTCGTTCATCCCAGGATGCTGAGGGCCGGGAAGGAGCCGGGAGGAAGCGCTCGTAGGTGCCCTGTCCCTGCTACGCCAGCCCGGGGCAGCGCGGGGACACAGGTGAGGACAGCACGAACACAGGCTGCCACCTTCCCTTGGTGACACGCAAGGACAGCGCGGACACAGGCTGCCACCTGCCCGCGGGGACACGCAAGGACAGCGCGGACACAGGCTGCCACCTGCCCGCGGGGACACGCAAGGACAGCCGGCAGCGCCTGTGCTCTCCGCGAATGGCCGCGCAGCCTCTACCTGCCACCCCCAGCCCCCAAAACAACCCCCACTGCCCAGCGTGCTTGTTTAAACAAGCTTAAAGGGATTTAAGTCTGAAGAGATGTGGTTGGGAAGTTTAAAAATATTTCTTTAGTGATCTCTATTCATTCTTGGATAAATGAAGGGACACTCCGGTATGAAGTTAGTCGCCCCTCCACTCCCCCAAAGCAGAGGCATAGGTGTTGTCCTTGCATCCTTGAGACAGACCTTGAACCCCAAACCCTCTTGACACAGCCCGGATCATGGCCATCCCTCCCATGAGCTGCAGTGACAGCTGTGGTCCCCACCCAGCAGAACCAGGTGCCAGGGTACGGCCAGTCCCAACAGGGACAGAGAGAGGCATGCTAGGGACTCCACTGAGCTTCACAGCAATTTAAGGAATATCATAAAACGTTCCCTCCAGCTTCAGCTATCCCAGAGATAAGTCTGGAGAGGGATCTTTGTGTAGTTTTAAGGAAGGACTAGGGAAAGACCAAGAAATGTAAATCTTCAGATATTGGTAATCTGGAGAATATATAAATTCCATCACTGACTACAGGATAAATATGCAGGAAATTAAACTGGGTACTTAAGTTTCATCAGTTTCTTGTTCATATCCCAAAGACACACATACAGGTAGATCTATCCTGTCCTACAGCCAGCCAGTCATGTGGATATCACTGTGGGAAGATGTATGGGAGGCAGGGTCAGTGATTTTTGTGTTCTGCATGCTCCTAGGGTGTGGGTTGTTCAGTGCTGTCTCTCCAAGGTCTCTGCCTTTGGTTTCCTCCTGCCATTGCTTTTCATCACTTACTCCTCTCCTGTGTTTGTTCAGGACCTATTTTTCCAACATCCCTTTGGTCACAGACATTTTTTGTTGATTCCTCACTAGGTTGAAAATAATAGTTGCTATCTATCATAGTTGCTGGAATATCGGAGGCTTGAGAGACTATTGTGTAAAGTGATGGGAAAGGGCTCTCTAGCATTCTGAAAGCTTTAAAAATCTTGCTTTCAGTTTGGAAGGGAATTTCAACTAAAACCGCTGAAAAGCTCTTCAGAAAACACTGACTGTACATTGTTTTGTGATTGTTCCCACATCCCTCATAATTCTCAACCACAGCTCTGTGCTAGAGGCTGGATACACATAGTGGATATTTTTGCTCTTGCTAGCAGTGGGATAGCAGGAATGCAAGCTTCCCCTTGATGTCCAGAATCAAAGTATTGACAAACAGCAAGGGAGGGGTGTGAGTTTTGAGGTTGTATCTTCCCTCAAAACAGGAAAACTGCCTATCTCCACGTACTCAAGTACTCTTTTCCCACTACTCTTTTATTCGTCTCATGAGTTTGTTGGTATTGTTTTCCTTTTTCTCTCCTTCATACAGGAAATAAGCCTGAGCTCTCTCACACTTTAATATGCTTGTCATGCATCTGTGCAGAAACATTTCATACTCTTTGTACTGAGCACTTCATTACTCAGCTACACTTTTTTCAAGAACTGGCAGCCTGCAGAATAACTTCGAAAATAATTTATTTCATATTGCAGCAGTCCTCTACACTGGAGTTGTCTTTAACCATTCCTGTGTTCTTCTGGTACCACAATGTATTACTGCTTTTGTTTCTGTCATCTTCAGGTGTTTGGTTTGCTTGCAGAGCAGCTGTAACTGCACTACATTTTGCAGCATGAATCAGCAGCTGGTGTGGATTACACAGCTAAACAGCCCTTGGAATTTCTCAACAAACATCTCACACGTGGTCACTTTCAATTTGCAAGGAACTTAAGTAAGATCATCCCTCTTGCCTTTTATTTCTATGTTCCTGTTCTTCTGTTGTAGTTATTTTAAAATAACAATTGTTTTGGGTGTACTATTTGCATAAGAAATGGGATTGTTTTGCAAAGTTTTGGCTTCTTGAAGAGAGAACTTTTCCTTTGTAATCTGGTTTTCAAAAAGTGAGAAGTCATTCCCTGGGCAAGTTTCTGTTTCAGTTTTCACTTGCTTTTCTGATACTGTGTTTCCATAAAACAGGGGAGTTTGGGCTTCGGTTTCTTTTTTCTTATACAGCCCTAGTTTGAAAATTGTGTCAGAAGCAGGAGGCAGTAGAAATCTGGATGTGCTACTGCAGGTCAGCAGAACTAAATCACTTTCAGTCCCTGGTCCAGATACTCTAAGCTTGATGCAGCTCTGCTCCACGCTGCTGACTGCCCTGTAGACACACACAGACTCTTTGGGAAACTAACTGCACAGTACAATCAATCCTCCCACTTGAGCCACAGTGTTCCAGTTAAGAACAAAAAATTATGACTTATGCTAACCATCAAAGCTAATGGCAGTCTGAGCTGGGCCTTGCAGACATCTCCTAAAAAAATGTGACTCATTGCTCAGGGACTTCTTCTAAACCGTCCTTTTTACGCTGAGGTTGGGGAATTGTAGTGTGATGAAAGAAAAAATTATCATTTTATTTCATTGTCAGAAATTTGTGAGGTTTGGTGGCTCCATTTTAAGATCAGTGTAGTTCAGATTGGTCAGTTCCCTGCTCCACTGGAACCCTGAGAGGTGGACTGCCTTCATTTCTGCTGGTCAGATGCTTCACTCAGATAGACAATGCCAGGAGCCAAGGGAAGAAAAAGCTGAAGTCAAGCATCTGCCAAAACAGCTTTAAGGTGCATTCATGCCTTCCTGGATGGAACATGGTATAGGGAGCAGCCTATCTACCAGGGTTTGTGAGAGCATGGAGCTCTCCTTCCTTCCTGTCTTCGCTGTGCTCCTACACAACTGCATCCTATAAAAGATGGCACAGCCAACGCCACTGCTGTGCTGCTTTTCTGAAAGGCAGATATTTTACTCTCTTATATATGTGGACCCTGACCAAAACAGGACAAGGAGCAACACATTGTGACAGTGTGTGAGAGCTGTGCACAGATAGCTCACACACAGGCCATTCATACAATGCCAGGTGTTAATCAGTCCATGCGGGCACAGTTTGGCCCATGGCTATTAAACCATGCTGACTGCAGCAGTCTGAAGGTTTTCCTTCGAAAAGCAGCACAGTGTGGGGATTTTGGCAATATACTAATGGATTAGACACTTGGAAAATGCAGCTAGATTAGAGGCTCCAAAGTGGGATGGAAGGTTCTCGAGTGCTTAGCATGGATAGGGTTTAAGAGCTGCACAACAAAAATTGGGCCTGGGCAAAACATGCTCTGTGTCATTGAGACCTTTAACAGGTCAAGTCTGTGAAACATGTAATGAGTTCAAAGCTACACCCTGCTTTTCCTTTCAGCCTCCTGCTTGATGCCATACACAGATTTTTAGCTGTTTCCAAAGGCCATGTACTGCCTTCCAGATACCTCACTTCCAGCCATGTGGCATTTTGGAGGACCTGCCACATGGGCTGTGGGCACCTAGCAATGGCAGGGGTTGATTGCCAGCCTCTGGCACCCTGTGGCCAGTTCTACCTTGCCCTTTCCAGGTCCTGTGGACAGGTGGCAGCCATGGGACCCTACCCCACACACTGGCAGGCAGGAGAGAGCAAGCCTAGGTAGGTCTCTTCCAGTTCTGGCTGAGTCCTGATACTGGCTGGAGATTTTCTCTAGGGAGCTGATCACAGAGCCAAAGAAAGTCATCTTTCTTACTGTGTAACCTGGAAAAATCAAACCTTTCCAGGAAAATCTCCCGTTCTGTTGAAAGACTTTGTGAGATTTGCACAAATGGGTGTGTGGGAGGGAAAGGCCTCACAGTAAATCTTCCAGCACTGTAATGATCCTTTGAATTTAGGAGCTGAGTCTTCTGCACTTTGTGATGGAAGAAAGGTAAGGTATTTTTTCATGAGAATTATCTCCTTTATCCTGATTTTCTAACCCGAGTAAAAGCAAACCTAAACATGAAATCTATATACTAAGAAAGACAGAAGTCATGTATTATGCAGACGTTTTAATGAAAAAAATGCTTTCATTCTATCAGTTTCTGCATTAAAAAAGCATCATACACTCTGAAGGATGCCTTCCAGAAATGATGGTTCTGTTGTGCTGCTAACCCTTCGGTTCCTATTTCTTTGAAGGGTTCTAACACTAGAAGAGGCTTACAAACATTGCTGAGAACAACAGAGGTAATAATTTTTACATAGAACTGGGAGCTTTTTGCATAGAAAACTTGTACTCATATATACACAGAAGTATTTTTATGAAAGATAGAAATTGTATTTGCATCAGAGTAGAACCTACACAGCAACACCTATATTTCAAATTCATCAGATGGAAGGCAGGTAACTTTTTTTTTTCAAGTACTCTTCCTGATACACTTTTGAGTGTCATAACACCAGAGTTTTCCCTTCAAAAAAAGGGAACATCCTGCATTTTTAATGTAACCAAAACCTTACATGGATTAAATAATGCAGGACTATGGATTTAAACCATGCCTTTTCTTCAAATAATGATAACCTTTTTCCTCTTGTAATGAATCCTATAGCTGGGGTCTTATATTGCACCTTTTAGTAAAAAAGTCATAAAACTTCTTCCAGTCCTTAACAGCCAAAAAAGGCTAGAACTTCTTTTCAAGGAAGGATATTGCTACAACATTTGTAATTATTACTTCTGCATATAATAACTTACTTGAGTTCAATCAGCACTGCCAATGAAAATTCCATTTTGAAGCTTTGTTATTTATATTAGAAAAATACTCATTTAGAAATAGTTTTCAAATTACTCTGCACTAGGTCTCTTCCAAACTACCAGTATAGGCTTTACTTAGCTCAGTACTATCATTGTAAGAGCTTCTGCCCTTCTGAGAGCAAGTTTTGCTTTGCTCAGTGTCAGGATTACAAGACTGTCCCCCTTCCTGAGAGCTGGAAATAGCTGCCTTCAGCTTTTCCTCAATTTTATCAGCTGCAGCACACATTTTTAGCTCTTTCAGGCTGCTTATTAGGGTTCCATAGGCTCCCTTCATCCCATGACTTTGATACCAGGCTCGAAACAGCCTAATCTTCTGTTCAGATGTATCACCAAGACAATCCTGAATGCTTTGGTCTATGGCAGGTTCTGATACATGGTGGTGACGAACAAATTTCTTGACTTCTGCGAGTGTCATCTCTGCCACAATACCAGGAACGTGGCTGCTCAGGTCAGCATCTAGGAGTGTGAAAGGAAATGAATGCACCTGGCACTTGTATCTTACTGGGTTTTATCACTTGCACTCAGATTTGATACTTCTCCTATCCAAACCAGATTAAGTTTCAGGTATTTGTGACTCAGTATGGTTTATGTGTGATTTTTTACAATACATGGCAGATCTGTTTTCACATGTTCCTGCCAAATACTATGTATTTCACAGATTTAGGCTTGCATCAATATTGCTTTCTACCACCTAAAACACAGTATCAGTTCCCTCTGTAACCTCTCCTGTCCTTCTCTATCACTGAAGTGTGGTCATCTCTCACGTTTTTTCTCAAAGTAGTGTTGGGAGACGTCCTGAAATAGGACAGGTCTCCTGTAGTGATACCGTTTTGGAGCTTGTATTTTTTCCTTTTGTGTATCACTCCTGTGGATTTTCCCCTGGACATAATGTGGGTTTGTGAATCTTCAATCCCACTGTGGGATTGCCCCCTTATAATTATCCATGGTTACTGAACACACAGTTTGCTGTTTCCTAGTGTCTGTACCACGTGCAGAACTGCAATTCACTTGTAGACAATGAGTAATTGCTCCCTATACAACAGAAATTCCTCCTGAGGCAAGACTTCCATGATGCCACTAAGTGCTCTGATGAGCATTATATGAACCGCCACTTCTTTAGTAAGCATGCACTTTTGTGCTGGAATGACAGGTCTGGACAGTGGCAAAGTCTACATAAAAATACTCTTTTTTTTTTTTTTAATTTAGGACTTATGTATCTGTATCTCTGTTTTTTCTTTCTACAGAATTTTGAGAAGTTCCTTGTCTCTTACCTGTGTCTATGAGAGGTACACTCTCCTGAAAAAAAATAAAGCAAGAGAGAAATAAGTAGAAGCAAGTGGATATATAAGAGGACAAATACATTTCATAATACTTCTTTAATTTTCTTTTAGTTTTATCCATGATTCCTATTTTAAGATTGAGAGAGTCAGACCAGACAGACAGACCTCTTTTGACTTGGGTAAGTTTGGGGAATCAACTCACAATTGCTATTGCCTAAAATTATGCACAGGGACAGGAATATCCTGGGCTGGTGGAGGCCTGGTGATTTATGAAGTTTTGATTGTGGTCATGTGACTTAGGAAGCATTCCTAAGAGTTTCTCTTACTTCTCCCAAAAGAGTCCTTGTGGTGAAAGTTACTTCATTCATGTCATAGAAAAGAGGCACACAAATGTTTGGGGAAACCCAGTGCAATTTAAATGGAAAAAAGTTCTTTGCATAAAGCTGAGTTTTTTATGATCAAAGTAGCAATACTTACAAAAGGCTCTGGTTTGTAAACTATGTTGTTTGGGTGATCACTGATTGTAACACCTTTCTGTTTTCTCTTGCCTGAAACAAAAAAAGCATTTTTAAAATCTAGGGCAAGATATCTCTCCTTTGGACTCCAAGAATATAAAATTATATTTGAATAAGCCTCTGAATATCTCACTCAGGGTGTAATAGGAATAAGTAGGGAATCACTTACGCCACCATATTACTCCAGCTATTGCTAGTAGAGCTGCCAAAACTGCCAAAGGAATGATCACCCCCAATATAACTGGTTCTCCTGGAACATTGGAAAATTTGCATGAAAGTTAACTCAAGAAATGCAATACAGCAGCACACCAAATTTTAAACAAGACGGTGTCATATTTTAAAAGCCATCCTATTTTTTCCTAATGACAAAAGCCAAATATGTTAAAGATATACCTATTGTGAGCTGCCCCTAAAAAGGACTATCAGCTCCCACACCTGCACAGTGATCAAGAGAAAATCATGCTCTGCAGGTCAGTACAGGGCCCAGTAGGACTAATGCCCTGAGCTGTCAGGAATCACTAGGGCCACTGTGTAGAACAGGACAATTGCAATTGCCTCTCAAAATACAGCACATGATGGACCTTGTTATGTTTTAAAATGGTACCTTTTGTTCCACATACAGTGTCTGAAGATGAAGTACATTGTTTTTCAATCGCACCACTTTCACATCTGCAGAAAATATGAACACAAATTATTAGGGGACTTTTTCTCTCTTAAGCTCTCAAGCTGTTAAGAGAGCAAATCAAAATCTTCTAGGATGTTTTATCAGCAAAATATTTCATATTTTGCTGATAAATATTCTGGTTTCATATTCCAAACCCCTGATCATGGGGTTTGGAATTTAATAGGTATGAAAATGGCATGGAAACTTGTGGCAGTGGGAAAACATATGAAATTATTTTTCAATGTAGCAGTAGATCACACATAGATAATAGGAAAGCTCAGATACTCTTTTTATTATTTTATTACACTTTTTGAAAAACATATACACTCAGTGGATATGTAAGATTTTCTGCATGCCTTTGGAAAACCTTCATTGCTGCAAATTGACTAGACTGAACTCAGTCAGTATGCTTTCCCTGAGGTTATAGATGACCTTCTCTCTTGAAACCAGCTGGGAAAAAAAAAAAAGTGATTATATATTAACAATTTCATATGTAGTGATGAAGCCATAAACTCACGTGGTACATTGCTGGCAATGGTCACATTCTGCAGAACTGCAATAATAGTTCTTTGCACAGGCACATTGCGTGTTCTTTTCTGGGGTACAGTTCTTTACAACCTCCCAACCTAAAAATAGATTTCATTAAGTGTATTACTTTGAAAAAGCAAGTTTCTGTCTACAAAGTCTTGTCCTCAGACTTGCTGCTAGCTCCACCTCTGCTGGTCCTGGAGAGGCTTAACTCTGATACACACAGCTTTTCTAAGGAGCACTGGGAATATGGAGCAGTCAGAGAGACCTCTGCTGGAGGAGAGTCAGAAAACTCATCACACAATACAGCTCTGCCAGAAGAGGACTCGTTCAGCACAGCCAAATCCCAATTTCTTTTTCCCATTCAGATGTGTAAAGCCAGAAGGAAACTCAGAAGATCACACAGCCAATCTCCCCACTTGATAATGCAGATGGGTTCTTTGCACTCCCTGACAGACAAGAAGTTTTCCCTTTTCTTGAAGACCTCCAATGATGAGAAATTCCACCCTCTCTATTTTGTCTAACATATCCACGTTAAGTATACTTCTTAAGAATCAAAACAAATTATTAAATTTCTCCTGCCCTACGTTTATTATGCTATCTCTGTCTATGAAAGAAATACTTCTACATTAAAAATTACTGTATCTACATAATATGAAAGCTATTTTCATAGGCATATTGAAAATAGAACAAATTTTTGAGTTACTACATTCAGTGCCCCGCTGTAATTTGAAACTACTTTATGTTTCAAAATTTCTACTGTGAAACCAGTGCTGAAGTAACTCACAGAAATAGTGAACATGAGTGATCGTAAGAATGGTTCATATGGAACTTCAGTGGTAATTTTCCTCTTGCCTGTTGTCAGTCTACTGACTTCTCTTCAACTACATTACTGTCCATGGAATATTGTGACTAGCCATCCCACCACCCTTTCCCTCCCTTCAATATAAATAATTGTGACACCACATAAAATACCGAATTGTTTTGCTCTTACCAATTTCAGCACCCATGCAAAAATGCTTAATATAGTAGCAAATGAGAGGAAAGTTTTTTAACCATACTGAGGTCCTAAAGGAAGGGGAGAGCACTAGAGATTGATATTCCAAGAGGTGAAGTGAGTACAAACATATTTGAGTTGAGAACTGTCTCTCCATTCACTAAACTTGATTTTGGGTATGAAGAATGAAGAACTGTAATTCTCTAAATCCAAATAGAGCAGATCTACAGGACACTTGGTGGAACTGGTAGGAGATAAGTTTAATGGACTTAAAAAAAAAATCTATGATGGGTATTTATGAAACAGGTAGTGAATTTCTGCTGTCACCCAGCAGGTTTATGAACTAAAAGGGCTCATAAACAGACCCTGAAATGACTAGGAAGGGATAGATCTTCTAATGTCCTTTCCCCCAGCTGTGGATGCTGACAGACTGCAGGGAACAGACCACAGAAAGCAGACAGGTTTTGTGTGTGTCTTCTCTAAATATCACCTCTTGCCTCCACTGAATGCAGAATGCTGGAGTAGGTGGGGTACTGGTCTGCCCCAGGAGGGCTTTTCTTACAGACTTACACACGTATCCCACACAGCATCCTGAGCGTTTCAAAAGACAACAACCAATTTTAAATAATATTATCCATTACATGAAAGACTACAGAAGAAACCATCATTACTTATACCCCTGTTTTAAACAGGAGGTGAAGAAGAGGGAGAACTTGCCTTCCTTGACTCTAACCAGTTTGCACAGTGTCTGATTTGCATGGACTTTGGCTAAGCAAAGGCAGATATAAGGAGAAATAATGGACCAACTATTTTGCTTCCTACTTTGTGCTTGATGAAAAGGAACTGGAGGATAAACTTACTACTTTCTCACAAATTCATTCACGTTCTACTACTAAAAGTTTTGAATGTACATGCTAACCACGGTTAAGATATTGTGGAGACTTTTCAGTGGAATCCTGTATGAAAGAAGAGTCATTGCTACTGTTGCTATTTCTATAGACATACCAAATGTGCTGTCACACAATCTGCATCTCCAACACTCGTCCAGCTGATTGGGGTGATCCATGAATTCCTTTCCTTTCTCACATGGAACACAGTGTTTGATAATATCTGTTGGGCAGGAGACGTTTTTAACAAAACCTGTAGAGAAAACCAACAATTTAGAGAGAAGCCACCAGCTCTAAGACTAACATCAGAATTTGATTTTTAATCCCTAGTACTTTTTGATTCCAAATATGGAATGTATATTCTTTGTGCATATGTAGATGCACTTCAGGAATGTAGTATACATAACATTTGATTATCCTCAATCTTCCTCCATTTTAATACTGAAGGAGAACACACCAAACAAAACTGTACATGAAAAATTGGAAAACCCATGAACGTTTGGAATCTTGCAGGCAAAAGCATGTGTTTTCACTTTTTCAACCTCTTTCAAATATGTGTATGTTAGTTCTTGGCTCTTTTGTAACAAGCATGTTATGTAGTGAGAAGTTATTGGTGCACTGAGCTCAGGAAATATCTCTGAAGCAGTTTATGTCCTGTAACAAAAACAGATACAGCTGGAATGAAGCACTGCATCCAGGAAACCACCCCATGCCACTTCAGTGCAAAGCAGTTGTGCATGCTGTGGTGTCCCCTGTTAATGAATTCTCAACACAGTCTTACAATCATACTCACCACTTCTACATTTCTTGCAACACTGAGCATCTAATTGGTATTCATCCTTGTTGCAGTTAATTTCCCTCCTGGAAATGATCCTCCTATTGTACATTATTAGGGCTTCAGTATAATTTTTGCACTGTGTTTCAGTAATTGAGACAGCCACCTAGGAGAGAACAGAAAATTAGACCAAAAAACTGTTTAGGACTGTAGGTGTGTTTTAGTACTACCAGAATCACATTAATAGTGCAACTAAACATACTGATATTTACTCCCTTATTAAAACTGTCGACTACTTTAGATTTAATGGACAATGAGGGCCCATATTAAAGCCAAGAACTCTACCACTACAGGCACTCTCCTTTCAAGTTAATTTAAAATATAACTATTTCTTTGAATTTTTTGCACTGTCAAGTTAAATTGCATAGTGGTTGGGGTTTTTTGTTTGTTTGTTTTTATTTCTGTCATTAGGCAGTAGAGCTTTACTAGTGGTCACTGTCCTGCCTCTTTTCCATGATAATAATAAAGCACTGTGGCCCAGAGGCCAAACCGTGAGGCTTTTTTTTTATTTTGGAAGAAGGAGGAAGAATGATAAGGATAAATCTGGTATAGTTTGCCTTCTTCTCAGCAACATTTTCTGCAGAATTCTATATTTACTCTGCATGCACTAAATATGAGATGTCTACATAATGGAGCTATGGATGCTGACCATAATTTCAGTTAGATGTAGAAAATTCTGTATGTTAAATTACTGAAAAATCATTTTGGATATCAAACTAGGCTCTCAAGTGAAGGAAATGCTACCTGTAGCTAACTAACTACATGTAACCAATGTAACCAATAAGGCCATTTCCTCCTACAGGTAGCCACTTCTTTTGACCCTGTAGTCTATTCACAAGTAAGAAAGTCGAAAGGATTTAATTTCCTTAGCATCTCTCTGATTAAAATGCATATGATATTAGTTACTGGACTGAAATTAAGGAGACCTTTCTTTGCACTTGGAGGTGAAGGTCCAGCAGCTGAAAGAGCATAATTAGCACTGGAGGAACTCTGGATATGGATGCTCAGCCCATGTTTGGTGCTCTCTCTTCCTTTGCTGCCAAACTTTCAGGGTGGTCTCCTCTGAATCCCAGTGTAATGATGTTAAAAAGTTAGTCTTCACAGAAGCTTTCAAACGGATATGTCAAATTAGTGTGATTTGTTTTATTTTTGCCTAGAAGAACTGTCTCACTAAACACTGGATTAGAAAGTCCAATTAAAAAATAATTACTAAAATATAGTCAGGGATGTACGACCAGTCTGGTTTGGTTTTTCCTAAGGCAGTATGAAGAAAATGTCCAAAGAATCACGCAGAAAATAAGATATAATCAAAGAAGGAAACATATTTCTAAATTACTAATACCAGTAAAGCTTAGCTGATTTTACCAAATGCCTGTAAACATATTGTGTGCAGAGAGATGTGTTCCCTTACATGAACTAAGCTCTCTGCCTCTTGTTTATGCATTTATACAAATGAGCTATGCTGGTATGAGGGGCTACAGAACACAACATTTTTAGATGGATGCTCTCTGCTCCTGCTCACGGAGATGAACTTCCTGGTACACTTACAAGAAGTGGGGGTCACTTCTCAGAATCTGACACTCAAGCAGCACCAAACACATTGGTTCTGCTTGCAGGGATGTCTTACAACGTCTTCCTGTAGAAGGAATAATGATGAAACTGTGAAGACGTTTTTTCAAAGCAACACCCTAATTTTTTCAAACTTTTTTTTTCCTCCTGGATTTGCACCCTCTTAAAAGCAAACTATTTGCTATTTACAAATTTTGCTGTGTCTTACAGGGAAAAAAAAAAAAACAGAAAAGAGTCAATACTCATTTAGCTTCCTGTACACACCTTAGTTGCTTTATCTGTTGTCACTGAGCAGTAATCACTACTATTGAAAAGGAAGCAGTTTAGGGGCTTTTATACAGGCAGGGATGATAGGTGCTTTTTTATGACACATGCACTCAAGCAGTGGTTGTATGTCTTCAGCCTAGAATGACTCACAGAGGCTCTCTCTTAACCTAAAAAAAAAAATTGTTTTCGTATCTAAACTGAAGATTGCACTAAGCAGTCAATGGGAATAAGATCAATCATTTGGGGACATCTGCATTTAGCAGAACCCATAAAAATTATTATATGAGCCCAAAGTTTCTGGTTTCTCTGCATTTGCATTGCCCAGAAAATGAAAAGTGTTTTCTACCTGCTCCCTCTTCTTCATTCCAACAGCCTCCTCCAAAATGCTTTCACTAACAGATGAAATGACACTTTTATGAAACCTGTTTTCATCTGCATTTCCAGGGCACAGTGACAAGAACTTTAATTTCTTTGAATACTCATCGTTTTGGGATTCTCAGACCTCCAGTTTTTCCTCTATAAAACTATTATTTGAAACATGTGAATCCATTTTAACAGGAAAGCTTCTGCAAGACACAGCTTATAGGTATGTAATCTCAGCTTTGGAAGTGTGTGAACATGTAATTTGCATACAGGACTTTTAAAAATTTTACAATGTTAAACCTGAGGAAAAAAATTCTGTTATCTCCTGTTATACATTTTATTTTTAGCAAGTCACTTCTCCCATTTCTAATCTATAAATGCTGACGAATGAGAAGACTGATGGCCACAGAACGGGGCCTTTTTTTTTCCACTCCACAGCTGTTACATGGACCAAGGTGTGTGAGCTCATCAGGGGCTTTCTAGGTGTTAAAAAAGGAGGAGGGGGATTTTTCTTGCTTTTTTTTTTTTTTTGCCTTGTGGAAGCTGGGTTGCTAGAACTAGCTCCATTTTAATACACTTTTCTCTGTAATTAATCTCCCTTGTATTAACTCTGTCAGGATGGCCTTTTCAAAGAGTAATTTCACACAAAGAGTAATCTTAAAAGGATTCTCTAATCCAATTCTTTCACTATGACAAGAAATTTCTGCTTCCACAACCTCCAGTATCATTTTTCCTCCAATTCATTTTTTTCTCCCACCAAGGCTGAATCTCATAGTTAAAAAATAAACCTCTAAAAATAGTATTTCACATTCTAAGATATTTTTTATAAGAAGAATAAAAATAATCCAGTTCCATTTTTTAAAGCCCTACAATGGGAGTTGGTATTTCCCCACAACTAGAAGCACCCTGAGCTTCTTAAATTCCAAGGGAAATGTGTGTGTTTAATGCACCCGAGAGAACCTGTCCAGCACCTTAAAACACTCACTGTCCAAATTTAATCCATTACCTTTTCAAATCTCAGCTGACTTACATGCAAATTGCAACAACATATTGGGGAGTTCGTTATGATTGGTTATTTTGTTGGGTTTTGCTTTTTAGAAGTACAGTACTACTGAGCATCTAGTAAATATTTGGAGAGTTGGGAGTGATATATTAACAGCTCTCACCTCACTTCGTTGAGACTAAGCATGAATTAGAGCTTGACAAATACAAATCTAGCAACTCTCCCCCTTTTCTGTTTGTAACACAAAATGGCTTTCTTATGACTTTCTCTTTGTTCAGTGAGTTACTGCAAAGATAAAAGTGGTTACTGAGGAAACATGCACAGACATGTTTCCAAAACTGAGGCCCTTATACTTTTCACTTGAGTCTTGGGTCATCCCATCATTTTATGGTTGTTTATGCACGTACACTTAAATGTGTGTATTAATTTTCCAAGATATAAGGAAGAAAGGCCAGTGCAGTAATGTAGGAGCCTTGTTTTCAAAGGTACATTTTCTGAACTTCCAGAAAATTGCCTGCTCTGTAGTGTTATCATAATTACAAAATATTTATCTAACAGTTCACTCTCTAGCCTATTCCTTTAGAGTGTTTTCTTGAGGTGATTTTATGCTGGTACTCAATTCCCTCATCACCTGCTGTGAGCCCAGAAAGGTTTAGGATGAAGCAGGAGCCTGGGAACCCCAGCCCATCTCTCTGTCTGGCATGCATCGGGCTGCGATATGGATTGTTTGCTCGCTGCCTTTGTTCCATTTGTATTCTTGATTGCTTAGGCAAGAAGCTATTTTATCTTCCCCCACCTTTTTCCTGGATTTCAGCAGAGATCCTTCAGTTGTTTCTTTTTGGTTTTTTTGTTTTTGTTTTTTTTTTCCACTTGAACTGTTTTGGCTTGCAGTCCAGTGAGCCTACTGGGGCGGTGGGAAAGACCCGAGCCAGCAAAAGAAAGGACACTAAAACCCACCAGTTTCACCTGCTGTGAAGAGCAGACCAACACCAGAAGCTCAACAGGTTCCTACCTACCTTTTGCCTGAGCTGCTGTGTGGATTTTTTCCTAACCTTCCCTGACACAAAGGGAGCAGCCACCATCCTCGCTGGGTAGGGAGCACAGGGTATAAAATTGTTTTCTTTCCCATGCCTTGTGGGTATATTGCTTTGTTAATAAACAGGTGGTTTTTTTTCACTTTCACTCCCTAGCATTAATTTCTCTCATTGGCAAAAAGGAATTATTGGAGCCCTTCTCTTTAGAAGAAATTATCATTCCAGAGCATTTTGTCCTAAAATTTGTCTCTAAACTAAGACAAGTGTGTCTCTCAGTGGTATGTAGTTTTGTAGCTTTTTCTACACAGAGAACACAGCTGTTTTCTGACTTTATAGACCATTGCTATTTTTGCCTGACTAGCTCTAAATCTTTTACTTGAGTGCAGCTTGGAGTTCCTTGAAAAATTGAGGTCTCATTCAACAAACTGTTTTCATGCTCTGGTTTAACCAAATAATATGCCAAACTTTGACCAGGTTTGTTATTTTATAAGTAGTGAAACGACATGCTAATTAGAACAACTTTTTAAAAATAGAAATTATGTAGGAATGCTACAGTCTTTCTAAGGTACACTGAAATTTCGAAACAATTGGAAAATAAGAACAGAAATTACATATTCTCTGGAGCAGTGTTATAAAAGAAAGTATTTTTAATCTTAATATGTATTCTGGATAGTATCAACATACTGAGCTACACTGATAGTTGTGTCACTAGTTGGCTGCTCCTTTAGTACACACTTCTGTCAACAGATGAAAATCCTTCTTTGTATTTAATTATGCTTTGATGATTTGTGCAGGGGCATGGATAGAGCTCTGAAATACTTTAAATAATTTACTACCTGTTATACAGTTTATCAGTTAATCACAATTTGAGTGGTTTATACATTAAGACTTGATTTTAACCTGACAAACTGCATTTGTTAGCAATAAAACCCCACAGTGTGGAATTCAAAGGTGAGCTCCAGTGAGCTGTTTCTGAAACGGGACAGTCAGGGCTGGGGAAGCAATGTGTGCTGAACCCAGGGCTGAGCTGTGCTGTACCCAGTGCGTTGCAGTGCTGAGCTGCGCAGGGACTCACTGTGTGCACAGGGCACGGTTCAGGCAAGGCAAGGCCCTGCCCTATGGCTTCCAGTAAATGCTGCACACAGACGCCAGGTTTGGACTATTCCTCTAGCTTCTCCTGGGTCACTGTCACAGTGGTTCAAACTCCTCCCCCGCAGGTATTCGTTGTTAAGTTGCTTTCCCTGCTCGCTGTTAGGGATTCGCTGAGGTGCAGCGCAGGTCGGCTCCCTCCGAGCCCGGTTTTAGCCCGAGCTGGTCCCCCGGAGTCCCGGCAGAACTGGGACTCCCCATGTGCCTGGCCCGCCTCTCCGGCCGCTATAGGTGGCTGCGGACCGAGGCCAGTGCCAGCTGTCCCTGGGTCCCCCACCTACAGCTCACGATCCGACAGCCACCTGCATCCCCCCGTCCGCTCTTACACAACGCGCACTTCACTTAGCACCCTTCAAAAGTGCCTGAACTTGAAGGTGGGTTTTTTCCACTTAAAACATCGCCTAAAGAATTGACTGAAATGTCGGTAACAAGTTTGCCACGCCCGGCGCTGCCGCACTCCCCATCCCGCCCGCTGCCCCTCTCGGGCTGACACTTACGAGGAGCAGAGGAAGGAGCCCTCGGGCCACGCCGCCGCTGTCCCGCACCTTCCGCATGCCAGCGCTACCCGGCACCTTCCGGCGGGACAACCAGAGTTGCCCTCGCCCTGTCCTCGCCCGTCCCGACCCGCCTCGACCCGCCCCGACCCGCCTCCGGCACAGCGCGGCTCGGCGGGGCGGGGCGGGGCGGCCGTGGAGCCGGGCGGCACGGGCGGAGGGAGCCGGCCCCGGGCTGGGGCTGCGGCCGCCGGGCGAGCAGCAGGCAGAGGCGGGACAGCTCCGGGCTCAGCGCCCCACAGTGACAGGGAGCGAGGGCACGGAGCTTCCGCTCGGGTGTCCCGGGCATCGTGGGTGCTCGGTCGGGGGCACGCACTCGGCGGCTCGTGGATACTAGGCACGACCTTGGGGTCACCAAGCCGACAGCCTTAGTGCTGGGAATGAGGCATTCGATTCTGTGCTTCAGGTGCTGGGAGGAGCAATTGCCTTCGCACCGAAGGCAGAAACTCTGATTTTGTAGTAGTGCCAAGGATAGGATAGGCTAGGGGCAGGCAGTCAGAACAGGCTAAACTCACTGCACCAGGCAGTACTGCCCTTTGCTGTCCTATGGAAAGGGTGGCTCATGTCCGTGACTTTATTTTCTATCTTTTCCCAGTCACTTCTTGTGTTTTTCCTGCAAACTTTCAGTGGTTTGTAGTGCTGGTAGTTTGGCCTGCTTTTTAAAGCCAGAAATGATGTGACGGTGTTAGTTACCGATACGTGTTTTCATTTTTCAAGTTTTGACATGATTCCATCACCTTGGGAGGACCGTGGCTGCAACTGAGCTGGTATTTTCATTTTAAACACCATTTTCGAGTGGTTTATGACTCAGATTTTCAAAAACCCTTCAGCTTTTCTTCTGATATGGCTCTTAGCTGCAATACATAACATCAACAAAAAATAGCTACTGTTTTAAACACTTAAGGCTTTTTAACCACTTCCGGATAAACCAAAAGGTGCTGCTGAGACATTTTTAGAGGTGCTGCCTTTGGAGTACCCTTGAACAATCATCTTTTTGCATTCCCAGTGGCAGTATGGGATGCAACGAAGAAGAGGCATGTCTCTTGGGTACAGTGCCTTGGGTTACACGTCTCTAGTTCCTACTGGCAAACCCAAAGCAGCGTGTCTGTGAGGATGCTAATTTTAGCGGAAATTTGCGTGCGGGTACGGGTGGAGTAGGGGCCGAAAGCAATGTTGTCCGGATCCGGATCATTGCTGCAGCAGAAAGGTTGCTAGAATTGTTTCCAAATCCATCACCTGAGGGGATCCTGTTTTGTCCTAAAATCCAAACCTTATGTGGCTGGGCATTGCTCAGGGTTCAGTGACACCCCTCTGTGCCTGTTGCACTATTTATCCGAGTATGAAGAAGGTATTCTGCTGCCACTCGAGTCTATTAGATGCATGTGGTTTGCGCTCCTCCCTGCCCCCCGGGTGTGATGACTGTGTGCATGTAGCTGCCTTGCGGTGGAGTGTTTTTGTCTTGGGTAGGAAGCTTTGAGAGATGTTTGAGAAGCCACCA